GACCTCCTGTTCCAGTGCACCCCACACTGTCCTCTGCCCCTTCTCCCCCCAACCTAGGGACACCCGGAATCCTGTGCTCTCAGCTCCCCTCTGCCCCTGTGCCCTGAGGTTTCCTCTCCAAGGACATGGCACCATGGACTTTGCCCCATGGACCCAGCCATGCCCTCACTCTGCACAAGGTGTCAGTGGGCACAGCCTTTGTGGAGGCCCTTTTACCACCCACCTGCCCGCCTCAACCCTGAGTACAATGGTGCCTTTTCCAGGAGATTTTGCCTCCACATGAACCCACAAAGCTGCTCTTGCTCGGACCCTGCAGAGCTCTGTATGGACTCCTAGAGAGGTCCACATGCTCCTGCCAGGGCAGGCAGCATTGTCCTGACCACCCCCAACCTCCAGCACTGCCCGCGTCCCGGCCCAGAGTCACGCTGAAGAGGTCTCCATGCCAGAGCAGCAGTGGGGAGCATACAGGGACTGATCCCCACAGACTGGGGCAGATGCTGGTGTGGTGCTTCCAAACCCAAGCCCTTCAGAGCTGCCTCTGCATGAGCCCCCCAAGCTCGGTGAGGTGTGAGACAGGGTGCGACAGGCTCTGCCTGTGCTGCCTGCTCCCCCCACACCCTCCTCACAGCAGCACTTTGGAGCCAGGCCGGAGCCGCCCTCGGAGGCTGCAGGAGTGTGTGAGCAGCTGTGGAGCAGCTGCCGGGGCCAGCGCAGGGGCTGGGGCTGGGGCAGGCACCCTGCAAGCGGCTCCACTGCCACTGGGGTGGAAGTGGTGGGACCCCAATTGGGGACATGGTGTGAGCCCTGAAGCCTGCTGCTGCCAGGCTTTGTTCTCAGAGCAGCGGCTGCAGCCCCTCCCCAGGCTCCACCTCCATATCCCACCCAAGACCCTCCTTCAGCTGCCTGAGCACAAGCCCCTCGCATGGCGCGCGTAGCTGGTGAGCAAGAGCTGCTCTCAGCAAAGCATGGAGGCACCTTGGCTGGTAGAGGTGTCATCAGTAGAGGCCAGAGGCAACAGGGCACCAAGCGGAAGGGACTGAGCCCCCCATGGGTACAGGCCTTGCAGGAGCACAAAGGAGAGGCAGGCTGCAGCCATGGCCCCGCTCCAAGGTCAGGTACTCCAGGGCTGAGCACAACCTGTTCCGGAGTCATGCTAACCCAGCGGGCTCTGTCCCGCATGGCTGCTTCCCCTGCCCCTTCCCTGCCCTCCACTGTCCCGGCTGAGCCAGCGCTGGCTGGGTGGCTGCTCACATGAGGCCACCATCACTTCACCTTCCCCTGCGCTTCCCCTGACCTTGGCTGCAGCTGGGACTTGTGCTTGGTCACTTATCACAGCCCTGCTCATCCCAGCCCTGCCGAGCAGGCACTGGTTGTTTCTGTCCCTTTTTCCAGCCGTGTCCTGCTGCTCCTTGGTGTGACCATCCCGTTGCCTTACATGCCTCAGCCCAAGTGTTCAGTCCCACCACCACCTGCCTCCATCCCTCCCGCTTCCCCCTCCCCACCTTTGACGGGGTTTTGCACTCCTGCAGCTGGCACTGCAGCCACAAGCCAGCTCTGGGTGATGCTGGGAGGCATTTGGCTTGCCACAGCCAGCTCCTGCCCTCAGCAGAACCTTCCAGTAGATTAGCAATTTTCCTTACAATTGCTCATCATGGTAAGAGCTGCAATTATTAATGACCGTTCCAGCTGCCAGAGTGGAGCAGGAGGAGTGGCTCTTCCCCACACCCGCTGCCTTGAGCCCATTCCAGACAGAGGTGGCGGCTTGGCCTCGCACTCATCCTTTGGGACAGCAGCTGCATCCATGAGCAAGCGCTTGGCTGCTCTACACTGGAGCGCACCCAGAGCCGGTTCACGTGGCCCACGCGTGTCCCCGCTTCTTGGCCCCTTTGCAGGACTCAGGGCCAGAGCAGAGCACAGACCAAGGGACATGGCCGGAGAAAGTAAGGATGCCCCTGCAGGGTCCAAAATCTGCCCCATCTCCCGTTGTTGCAGCTTTGCCCCCCACTCATTTCTGCCTCCATTAGCACATCCTGCCTGCTATGAAGACAGAGGGACAACCCAGATGACACGTGGGGTCCAACCCAGGCTGACACAGGCAGAGGAGGTGAAATGCAAGGCCAAGATTTTCCCTGGAAAGCTGGAAGGAGCTGAGTCAGGCCCCAGGGGGGAGCAGGGCAAGGGCTGACCGTGACCTTCCCAACCAGCTGCACCTCGCTTGGCAAAACAGCAGGCCTTGAGACTGCCGGCACTTGCAGAGAAGTGTTTATTAAAGGCACTAAAAGCACCGTGGCTACATCAGCAGCAACCCGACTGGAGAGCGTGGGGGTGGGAGAGGCATTCACAGGCCCAGGACAGTGGTGGCAGAGTGCTTTTTGGTAGGAAGCCGTGACCTGCTCCCCAGCACAGCCACACTGGGGGTGCTGCCACACACCAGCACCAGGGAAGCAGCAGGCCTGGGTTGGGGGGATACGAGGCAGAGACCCCTAGCACAGAGCTGGGGGTAGGAAGGAAGCCACCAACAGCAGTGCGTGGAGTGGCTTGGGGTTGCTGTGGGCAGGCCCCATAGGGGAGTGGGGCTGGGGCTCCAGCCCCACACACTGAACACACAGCAGGGAAGATAGGGGAGAGTGGGGCAGGGAGCTGGTCCTCACCCATTCAGGAATGTTTTGGGGCATCCCTGCCCCAGCACTGAGCTGCCAGGCAGCAGGGCCCCAGCTGAGCAAGGGAACAGCCCTGCTGTGCCATACCCTCCCTAGCTCCAGCCTCAGCACACTGCAAGGCTAGGGGGCAGGAGACCCACGTGGCATCCCTGTCCCAGGGCTCCTAGGGCCAGTGAGGGGGCACAGAAGAAGCCACCAAGCTATAAGGAGCTCTGGACCCAGCACTGCCTCTGGCTGGAGCTGGGCCAGGAGCTGCCAGGAAAGAGGCAGGAGCAAGGGGAAAAGGTGAGGGCCCAGCCCAGCTCCCTGGGGGCAGCAGGGGTGGGGGGGAGAGGAGCATGCAGGGCCAGGGACACACATGGGCGCAGCTGAACTCCCACCCCTCACACGTGGGAGAAAGCATGGCTCTTGCAGAGCGGCTTGTCCTTCTTGGAGTAGAATGTCTTCCCTTCCAGGTTGGTCTGGCAGATCTGGAGGAGAAGAGAACACAGGAGGTCAGGTCAGGGGGGCTGAAACTGCCCATGGCTTCCCCTCATGGCCCAGGGCTCAGCATTGGTGTGGCACAGGTGCCAGGGAGCAGGGTTCTGAGCCACCAGCACAGGGCCAAGTGGGGAAAACCTTGTTGCAACAGGGACCCCATGCTGCTGGTGTATCCCATGCATGGCACAACTGCCAGGGAGAGACAGCCACAGCCCCACCAGCAGCCAGGGAGGGAGGCACATGGCTCACCGCACAGACGAAGCAAGTGTCATGCCAGCTGAACCCCAACGCCTCCAGGAACCGGTCCCCAGCATCGATCTTGAAGTCGCAGCCACGGCACTTGGTGCCAAACATCTTCTCATAGTCTGTGAGGAGAGGTAGAGCCCAGGTCAGTGTTCCCCTGCACTGCCGCCCCTCAGCCAGGGGAGCAGGGCTGCCGCATAGCCTGAGGACAACTTGCTGCCAGCCCCAGGGGGATGATGATGGAGACACCTGGGAGAGATGCCTGTGCTGTGCAGGATGGCCCTGGGTGCAGGGAGGAGGCAAACCTCATCTCCCAGGATGCAGAGCACTCGCCTTTGATGTACATCCTGCGTCATCACCATGGCAACAAAGGACTAATGGCACTACCCCCCGCAGCATCCTGGGAGGACCAGGATGGAGGGCTCAGGACTGTGGGAGCGGGGTCCCAGCCTTCCCCATGGCTCAGGAGAACACTGCAGTGCAGGGCAGCTCGCCCCCACCCCTGTGGGCAGCTGCTGAGCCCTAATAGTGCCCAGTGCCATGCAGGATGACACATGCGGTCCCCAGGTCCTACCTCTCTCGCAGTAGGGCTGTCCCTCCTCCATGTAGAAGGCACGGTTGCGGATGGGAGTTTTGCAGGCAGTGCACGTGAAGCACTGCACGTGCCAGGTCATCTTCAGTGCATGCATGACTTCCTGGAGAGGAACCACCATCAGCCAGGGGCAGGACCACCCTGTGCCATGGGAATCCCACCCCATGGCAGAAAGGGACAAGGGATCCATGGGATGGGATCAGGATAGGAAGGGAAGGAGTCAGGCACCAATAGGTGAGCAAGGAGTAAGGATGGGAGGTGAGGGGCAGGCTGAGGGACACTCACCCCTGTGATCTTCTTCTTGCACTTGGCACAGCTGGGTGCATAACGCGTGTCGTAGCACTTGGGGCAGAAGATGGAGCCTTTCTCCTCGAAGAAGCCACCCTCATCCAGCACCTTCCTGCACTGGCAGCAGGTGAACTCCTCAGGGTGGTAATAATGTCCCAGTGCCACCAGGTAGCGACCCCTGCAACAGGACAGAGCCACATCAGCCATGCCAGGACCCAGGACACTGGTGTGGTGTCAGTGGTGGTGGTGGCCAGGGCTCACCTGATGAGCTTGTTGCACTTGTAGCAGAGCGGTGTGCGGCCGGGCCCCTCGGGGGCTTGCTGTGCTGCCTGCACAATGGAGCTGCGGTTCTGCATGGGGGTCGGTGTGGCTGGCTGGCTGTGCTTGCTCACCACCGTGCTCGTCTTGTCCGGGGCATAGCGCTCCGCGAATGAGGGGTCCACAGCCCAGGGAGGGCGGCTGGCAGGGCCAGGGGTGGTGGCGGGGGTCCTGGGGACTGCACACGCACAGGTCTCCAGGACAGTGCTCCCAGTGCCTCAGCAGCCCACTCCCAGCACCCACAGGTGGGCAAGCAGC